TGGGGTTCGCAGTGGGGGAGAGAGTTCAGGCTCAACTCAAAACCCACTAAGAAAAAGGCTGCGTTTGCAGCAAAGGAGCAGCGTCGGCACTGGCGGACGAGACATTTCTATGAGGCGGGGCGACGCTTTGCCACCGCGATCCAGCAGGACTTTTGTTGAAGGAGACTGGTGTCATGAGTTAGAATGCAGCGGCGCTCAGAGCAGAGGTAGCAGAGCGCTCCGCACCGCCTCAGCAGGATTCTCGCGGGACCGGAGCAAGGTGGGCGAAGACAGAGCCCAAGATCCAGAGCTAGTCAGAAAGAGAACCCGGAGGAGCCTAACTAGGATGAGGTCAGAATCCTTCTGAATAACTTAGAAAAGGGCTCTAAAAGCGGTGCATTTGTATGTTAAAGAGAAGAAAAATAAAACTTTTTTTTTTTTGAGACAGAATCTCACTGTGTTGCCCCGGCTAGGGTGCCGTGGTGTCATCCTAGCTCACAGCAACCTCACACTCCTGGGCTCAAGCGATCCTCCTGCCTCAGCCTCCCGAGTAGCTGGCACTACAGGCATGTGCCACCATGCCCCGCTAATTTTTTTTTCTATATGTTTTTAGTTGTCCAATTCATTTCTTTCTATTTTTAGTGGAGACGGGGTCTCGCTCTTGCTCAGGCTGGTTTCGAACTCCTGAGCTCAAACAATCCGCCCGCCTCGGCCTCCCAGAGAGCTAGGATTACAGGCGTGAGCCACCGCGCCTGGCCCAAAATAAAACTTTTATTTTAATGTATTTAGAATTTTAACAGAATGGTGTGTGACCATTGTATTAAAAAAAAATTCTTGCAGCAGGAAGAATGAAGTTATTATAACTAGTAAGTATTGATTCTAAATGTTGTGCCCTTTAAAATCCTGTATTTTGAGAAAGCAACTTAGTTAATTGCTGTTTCATATATATATTCACTGATACAGTTTTGGATCTGGCCTCGCAATACTTTTATTATTCAAGTAATTATTTAAACAGTGTTTTCTCAACCTTGAAACTAATTCAGATGCGAGGATTTTAATGCTTATTTCATAGCTGACAAAAGCTATGAAATGAATGCTACGAATGCTATGAAGCTATGAAGCTATGAAGCTTATGCTGTGAGGCGTAATTAGCGTAAGAACTCTCACCTTCTCTTTGTCAGAAACTTAAAAACAGTAAGTATAGTACAAGTCAAATTGTGTGAGCCTTGAGTCTCTTTCCGTCTGGCTAAAGAAATCTGGTCACAGAATATTTTATACTAAAAAAAATTGCTTATTTAAAAGATACATTTTTTTAATTTCAATTTTTTTTTTTTAGAAAGAAAGCCTTTTGCATTTGAGTGTTACATATGTACACATGCATATGTCGTGAACACAGACATACGGCTCTTCATACACGGCCTGTATCTCTGTGTCCTCTGCATCTTTTCAGCAGGTTTACGGCAGTGAGGAAAGATGAGCATTATTGAGATGCCACATACTTAAGGCAGGAAGGAAGAGGAAGCAAAGGGTAGATTACAAAATAGAGCCAGGAACGAGGATGGGGCACAGAGAGCAACAAGGAAGTCTCATAGGCCCCCTAATGAAGAGGTGGTCACCACTTTGTCATGAATTTTTCCAGCAGTCTGCACAAAGAAGGAAATTTGATCAGGTACCTGAGTCCCAGTTTCCATGAAAGCAGAACAACTGCTTTGGCAGAAATCTGGGTTGAGTTTCTGAAGTCATTCGCTTTGATTGAATATTCTCACCACAAGTTGAGCAAGAGCCTAGAATAAGCGATTATTTGAAAGGAACCAAAAAAAGTTATCTTTCCTCTAGAGGTACAGTCTGTTAGACTTTGTGTGTCTAGAAGTAGAAATCTGGAGGGCCCTGTCTAATTACAGTTTTAAAAATATATTTCTAATATATGATAAAATTATATTTATTCGATGATATGAGAGGAGACCTTGAAAATTGGTAAAAGCAATGGGTAGAGAAAAAAAGAGGAATTTAAAGACAGTATCAATACAGAGAGCTACCTATGTTGAAATTTAGAAGACCGTATCAAATCTGAAACAAGAAGTAAATAATTTAATACTCCTAGAACATTAATTCACTTGAGGATATTGGGAACGGAGCAATCTAGGCGGAACCTTCTAGCGTTCGCTCTAGGGTGGCGTGTGCAGGGTTGGGTGTTACGTTGAGGGTTCCAGCTGTACCTCCCAGTGTCAGCATCGCTCAAGGCCAATCGGATCTCTTTTCTTGCAAGACGAGGGGTGTCAAAATTAGTGGTTGCAAGAAGGGAGGCAGGAGCTCTCGGTCTCCTCAGCACACAGATTCTAATCACAGAAGGAACTGAGGCCTTCACCCACCAAACGTCCCTTTGGTAAAATGCCTTTCCGGGTACTAAGAGCAGGCTTAGTACACACGTCCGCCAGATGGCAGTAGTGCACTCTGGATAAAGGGAGCAAGGCCGGACCTTTGCTTTCCACCCACTAAATTCTCCGCTAGGTGACAGCAGTGTGAATATAATTGGAATGGCCATTAACGGATTATGTTAAAAAACAATTTTAATCCTTCTGGTAAATCTGAGAGCAGTATTTTAAAGAAGTATGCACACTTGGAATTTTTTTTTCCTAGAAAATTTAACTTACTATTTGCTTTTAGGCCTCCCCCACACTAACCTAATATACAAAAGCAAAACAAAAGAAAAAAAAAAAGCAAAACTTTTTTGGGGGGTACGCCTTCTAAAGAAGCTGGGAAAGATTATTGTTTGCAACTAAATTATTAGAAATTAATTTATGGAGCCCAGATCTTCTTAGACCAATTCAGAAAAAAAACAGTGACTAAAATAGCATTGAAGATAGTACAAGTTATGATTTATTGACCACCTGGTATGTGCCAAGGATTATTCAAATACTTTGGAAACATTAGTTCACCGAATGTGGATCGAAGCCTTTCGAGAAAGCCCACGTTTGAACGTCAGCCCATCTAGAGCCATCACCTCCGTATTTTCCACGACCTTGCTGCTCGAGCCGGTTTCACAAAAACCCATCCTGAAGGAGAAAGTGGAACAACTTTCAAGGTATGATTCTGAGCACAGACAAGGATGTAGTCTCCCTTTTTATGACTTGCCCTCACGTGTGGACGCATAACATTAATTCAGGGAGATGCAACGATACATTGTAATTCTATAGTTACGTGGAAGGCTAAAAATGAAGATCGGTTTGGGAGCAATAGCATAGTCATGAACTCGTGCATGCTGAACTATAAAGGACTGATAGTAACATAACTACACGTGGAAGAGGGCTGAGCAGGGGAATCCTAGGCCTTGACTCGTGCTGAGTCACTCCGGGCGAGGGAGGCCGGCAGTGCAGGTAGGCAGCCTTTGCACTTCCGTGGTCACCCCTGCTTACCAAGCCGTTAGAGAGCCTTGCCTACGTGCGCTCCCAGACAGCACATGCAGCCTGATGCAGCAAACGCGCTTTCCGTGTGTGAGAGACCTGAACATGTTTCGAATCCCTCAGAGGCAAGCACTGGGCAAGCAAGCTTTGAAGACAGAGTAACAGCAAGTGGTACGTGTGTCCACAGTGAGAGTGGAGAAGTCTCCAGGACCTTCATTTCTCCTGTAATTCAGTGCTAAACTGGACTACAGCCTCCCACAGAGGAGGGGAGGAATAAGAAGGCAGAGACTATAAACATGATTAAGACGATTTTTTTGTGCACAATTTTATTCTCCAGTAAAGCTGCACTTTAATATACTTTATTTCAAGTATCTTTAAGAGAAATACAACAAAAGGATACGGCATTATCAAAGGACAAAAGCTGACTTCAGGCCAGTAGGAAGCAGAGAAAGTCACTCTTTTGTTTTCTGCACAAGATAGCCTTAGGGTGGGATGTTTGAAAAAGAGAAAGGGGTGGGGATGTGGGCTTAGAGGACGTTCTCAAGGAAGGGAAAGTGGTGACATGATTCTCCCTCTGCATCCAGAACCGTGGACCCAGGTACCTGCAGGAGATGGCAGGTGAACGCAGGCTGCTAATGAGCTCTTGCAAATTAGTAATAGCAACTGCCATTAACTAATCAATTGCTTATTAGGAGCCATTGTTCATACCTGTTTCTTATTTAGTCCTTTGGCCAGCCCTACTGCGGAGTTGGGTAATATTTCTTCTCTAAGAGAATAACTTGCCAGGGTCCAACAGTTAGCAGATGGCACAGTTACACTTCAAGCTCTATTCTCTTAGCAGTGTCCCCTCTGTGTTTCAAGAGTCAGGCACCTAGACCACGGTTGGTGGTTTACACTCACTGACTTCCACTAGGGCTCGCAGTATCCAGCATGAATGAATTAGTAAGTGCAACTGGATCTAAATGTAATTAATTATATAACTATGGCCTGTACAAGTTCAGTTCTACTAAAATTGCAACATGAAATTGGGGCATTATAGAGAATTACTGGGAAAATAAGAATAGATTTAAATAAAATCTTCCCCTCCCCTCTTTCTTCCTACCGTAAAGAGAAATAAAGGAAAATAAAACAGAGAATGACTCCAACCCAACTTGCAGCACAACCAAAAGCTTTTATCCCGTCTACCTGGCAGTGGGCCCAGAAACGATGAGCTCCAGCTTCCCTAGTGATTACAGGAGGATGGAGCGGCAGGGAGTTCAGTATTTTAAAACAAGGTAAATACAGTTTGAGCATTAAGACAAGGCTGCTAACAATTGTTGACACTGTTTTACTCTCTGTCACAATGTTTAATTTGGGTTGTATAGAGTGACTTTTCTGTGACCGCCATCACTAGAATTCCTGCTTCCTGAAGGACAAAGGTCAGGCTGGAAATCTTACACAGGTTTCATAGACCAAAGTAGGGAAGCCAACATATCACAAGCAACGTTCACATTCTACAGGAAACTACATTTAATTGCACAATCAACAATACACTCACAGTGCAGGTACATGTTTTTCTGCAAATGTTTGTCTAGAAAGATTTTTAAGACATTTCATGTAGCTCTGTGTGTGACAGTTTCCTTAGGTGAAAAGAGTGCTAATAGTCACTATGGTAACCAAGATGGCGGTAAGGACAAGTAAGATCAGACCCATACGACATAATTTTGATTGCTTCTCTTGTTTCTTTTCCTTTTTCAATAACGTGTCAAAACCCGGCGTGTACATGTCTCCCAACCAAAACCGTAGGTCATTAGGATTTTCCTAAAAGAAAATTACATGGAGAATATTATCAATCAGTGATCAATCAGCATTACAAACTAATTTGAGTTGCAGAACAAGATACTATCTCAAGTACTGAAGGTCCATATTCACACTGTCCTGTGTGAGACTCAAGTGTCACAACTCAAGTAAGGGAGGCCAGCCTTCTTTGAAAAGCGTAGACAGGCAGGTGCAGCCTTCTGGCTGACCAGGAATCCTGCAGTCACAATCTGTATGTCTGTCTCCAAATTAATTAGGAGTCTTGCGTGATTTTTTTTATTAAATTGCTCACATTGGAGGGTCAGAAACACAACAGTGTTTTCCATAGTGTTTTAGTCAATTTAGTGTTTCTTACATCTTATAAACAGTACAAGTAATTAGGTTAGCAAGTTGAAATACAATTAAAATTCCTTGCTTTAGATGAACCTTAGAGGTTTGATTTTGTCTGCATAGCAGGAATAAATACTTTGGTGAGTTTTTCAGTAAATCCAGAAGCTGACTTCCATGGAAGGAGCACTAACACTAGGAGTCCAGAGTCCCCTCCATGATTCTTGATCTGCTGGTCTTCCTTGCAGAGGCTGCAGCATGTCTGACGTACAGAAACGTCGGCCTTATTGGACCCCCTGAGAAAGGACCGTTACGTCTTCACGCCAGCTGCTGTTTATTCCCATGTCTGTTTCTTTCACAGGCCTCGTTTTCCGTTCAGTGCCAGAGAATCATCTTCAAGTCAACTCGGTCTCCTCTGTCTAATAGATCACCCACAAACTCTACTGTCCACACATTTGTAAGAATACACTTCTCCTCTCATCATCTCCCGCTTCGCTTTGGAGCTGCAGGCGGGGCGCCTCCGCCAGGCGGCCTACAACAAGCGCAGGGCGATGCCACCTGCCCGCCCCCTCGCAGGCTCGCTGCGTCTCGCGGCGCCGGGGCCAAGACTCGCGATGGCCGCGCGCTCTCGCGGCCTCTCGGTCTCGGCGGACGTGGAGTCCGCTGGCGGCGTGCGCGGCCACTGGGGCAGCCTCCGGGCTCATCTGGCCGCGCTATCACGCGAGCCCTGCCGGGAGCCGGGCCCCCGGCGACGGTGCTGAATTCTCCCAGTAATCGATGCGCATTTGAACGTCCCACCCTTAGAAATGCTAAAATATTAAGATAAAATTTGGGTGACCTGTGCACAAGGACAATGGTTTAAAAATCCTGTCTACCTCACTCTCACCCTTCATTGCGTGTGTGCCCTCATCAGCCTGCGTTTTGCCTGCACGTTTAACATCTCCATTCTCCATTACGAGCTTTCATAATGGAGACGATCCTTTTTTACACTCTGCTTCTAGCCTGCCTTGGTAATTAAATATGGGATTTCTTTTCTCTTTTCTGACTTACAGACGCTTAACAACTTAGAAAAATGCAGGTGGCTAAAGGCACTTGGAAGGTTTATAGCCCACAAGTGGTATCAAGGTTTCAGAAAATAAGTTAGGGGCTCTAAGTGCTAATGATGAGGTATCGAGGGGGTGTTGAAAGAAGTTGAATGAATGACATATAGAAGGAAATTCTAACAAAAACAAAAGTCATGGCTTCCAGAAGCGTCTCTCAAGAAGTTATTGCTAAAGAATAGCTGGATGAGGTCCGGGAAGGGGTGCACTGCTTGAGGAGAGGGGCGCACACAGAGAGGACTGGGGCGGGGACGGGCTGGATCTTGGTTTTAGTAAAACAATGATCCATCGTATTTATGTTCCGTCTCGCTAAACAGAACTCGTATAATTGTCCAACTTATTGCTTATTTTGTGACCATCCTATTACTTAAAGTGTAGGTCCAGCAAAACTGGACTTGTTTCGACAAAGTCTCTCACTTTCCTGTATTTCTGCCTTCGCTCTTGGTACTCCTGACGGAAGAGCCTCCCACTCATGCAAACCATTTATATCTTTTGGAATACCTCACATTCTTCAAACTCATCATAAATTCACTTTTTCATGAAGTCTTCTTGCAATCAGATGTGATTTTTGTTCCTTCACGAATCTGCACAGGGCGTTGTCCTACCTCTGTGCTCAGCCTCCTCCATCCTCTTCTAAAGTGACTGCCTGCTAATTGACTCAGTTACACGAACTGTTTTTGGGCAGAGACAGTAACATTCACCTCTATGGTCCCCTTGGCTTGCAAGCAAACAGCAAAGGAAACAGGACCTAGCACACCGTCAAGAAATGTTTGTGAAATAAATCAATACTTTTCTTTTCCTTAATAGTAGGGGTGACTTCATAGAGAACCTCATGTTAAGACTCCTGATAAGAAATATAAGATTTTTTTTTTCAAAGAAAGAAAAAGAAACACAAGATTATTATTGCTGAGGGTAGCATCTCTTATGGAAACTTCTCTGGAAAAGGAGTACTTCAAGGAGAAGGCACATTCGATCTGCTAGGAGATTAAGAAACTTCAAACATTCTGGACAATAGGTATTTCAATGAGTGCATATTTGAGATTTTTAATTGTCTGTAGGATTTAAGGGGGCAGGGTGCTGTTCCCGTCAAAAGAAAAAAAATTCCTCACGTGCTCCAGGTATGGAGGGTAGAACAGATGCCCGTTTTTGAATGAAGAGTACGCATTTGTTCAGTGGCAGCCCTCCTGGCCCGGGCAGGCAGAGGCAAGCCTAGGCCGGTCGGGAGTCCGGGCCACTCGGAAACAGAAGGCAGGCGACCCTGCTTTTCAGGTATTGTGAGGTCTTCTGTGTGGTGGGTGACGCCAGGGGGAAAAAAAGAAAAACTTAAGTTGAGTTTAAGCTGGGTGAATGAGTTCACTGCATACTTTTCCTGTGTTGAAATGTTTTTGTTTTGTTTTGTTACTGAGACACAGGAAAATGACCAAAATGTAAATCTGCAATCTTAAATCATTGAGTGAGCTTGAAATAAAATGCTCTTTGATGAGAACTCCCTTGCACAGTGCCCAACACAGAGCACTTAATAAATGTTTTTGAATACATGTAGAATAGGGAACCAGATCTTCAATGTTTATAAGCATAAATGATCACAAACTAGGAGAAAACATATGTAATCTTCCAAATTAATTGTCTAAAAGCTTTTACCCTCCTGGAAAACTTTCGTTCTGTGCCACGTCATTTTTTTCCCCTCTCTACGCTACACAGATGCCAGTAAGTGCTGAAATAGTGAAAGTCAAGACAAATAAACACAAATACTGACTGAGAGAGAAAGAACTTCCAGAAGCCAAAATGATCTGAAATCTGGAGATTTTGTGCCTAGTGAAGAATTCCTTAACACCCCTATTTTAAAGGGTTATTGAACTGATCTCCCTTATCAACTGAAGAAGGTGATTCCTAGTCTTGAGTACCTTTAGATGTCCAGAGAGGTTTGTGTGCAAGGAATGTTTGTCATAGTCCTCGATGGTCCACGAAGGGTTCTTTTTTCTCTCTTCCATAGCTTCCTCCAAACTCACGTCACCATATAGTGGGTTATTCTTCATGACCGATGACATGGATGGTGGGGGGCTTTCAGTGGTGACAAGGCGCTCTGTACTGGATCCTCTAATTTGTCGAGCAGCAATGTTCTTCTTTTCTCTCTGTTAAGAGGCAAAGAGACAGGCTTCTCTTAGCAATGAGCCTTCTGATGGCCGAAGATGTAACAGGAGATAACTGTACCCAAAAATGTGCTGATTCTGCTTAGAAACCCAACAGATGAGGACAACGGATGAGAAAAGGGTTCTAGGATCTGGTTTGACGTAGGAACCCACCATTAATTGAGTTGTCTCTTTGTGTGTAATCTTCATCAGCTTTAACAATCATTCATTCATCTGCTATTTTATAACTACAGAGAAAGAACGCTGTTATTAATTCAAACACTAGAATTCTGAACAGAGCCAACTTTTTCCAGCTTACTTGCATTGAGATTTAATGACATTTTACTTTGTGCGTTCTATGACTTATAAAATATTAATCCAGTAATGTCTAAATTAAAAGATATTTTAGAGATATGCTTTGGCTTTCACAGATGCTGTCTTAGCTCTCATTTGAGACAGCTTTGAAGACTGGGCTAACAGCGTCCTATGTGTAACTCAGCCTCTGTATGTGTCTACAGACCAGCTGGCTATTATATGGCTCTAATATTGACTTTCAGAATTTTTAAAACTTTTCTTATTGAAGAATAATAGAAATATAATGTGTACGTGTGATAAATATGTAGATCAATAAATTTTAACACACCAAATAAGCCCAAGATTCAACACCCAGACCAAGAAACAGAACATCATGAGCACACCTCCCGTTCCTTTGCAGTCACTGTCCCTCCTTCTGCCCAAGAGCAATGAAAAGCCCAAATTCTAACAACATAGGTTAGTTTGGACTGAATTTGTATCTTACATAAATAAAGCCATACAATGTGTGCTTTTCTGTGTCTGCCTTTCATATTTTTTACCTTGTTTTTTTTTAATTTTTTTCTTAGAAACATACAGCTATCATGAAGGTAGAAAATTTTGAAATTAAAATTTGTTCATTGGCCAAATACAAATTGAGAAGACACAAAAATCTTACAGAGGAATGCCTTACTTACATGGGGCATCAAGAGAGAAATTCCGTTATCAGTTAATTTTAGATAATTTGGGTTTAATCTTTGAAAACTGGCAGCCTATTTCCTTAATTTATAGCAATTTGTCAATAAATATGTTAAACATATTTTAGCCATCATAAACCTAGAAGGTTCAATAGGAATTTCCTTCCACTCATTATTTATGATCATCAATACCCTTCTGATTTGAATCTCTCCCAGCACCCAAAAAAAAAAAAAAATACCCTTGTGCTCAGCATCTATTGGGGTATGTAGGTCACATTAAATATATACTATATAAGCTAAAGTTGTAAACTAATATTACATATAGTTTCTTTCTGAAATGGCTAGTAAGTAAAAAAAAAAACATCTAGATAAAATCATTCACATACTCTTTGGTGTTGGGTCTCTCTAACTTTCTTAATCCATGCATTTGTCACATACTTAGATATCAGCTTAGAGATCCTCTCTGACTTTAATAGGTTCTTGATCTGCTCAAAGTCAATTTATATTCTATAATACCAAAGTTTACAATGAAATAGTAAATCTTCATGACTTAGCATTTATGTTAAAGATGGATTACCTCAAAAGAAATGTTTCTGAATTGAGCAAAAAATAACTTGATAAGAAATTCAGATTCTATGAGCTTAGCATAATTCTGACTTAGTTTTTTTTTTTTCTTTATGACTAGAAATCTTTGATCGCCTTTGAAGAGGGATAATTCTTTTGACATGGACAAATTGGCTTTGTCAGGTTATTTGTCTGCTAGACAAATTGCTGAGCTTCTTAAAGAAGAAAGCTCTATAAATGAGGAAAATACTGTTGTGGGGGTAAAATAAAATTACACGCTTTATTCCAATGTATGCAGACTTTAAAAAACCTAATATTTAAAAGATAGCAAAATAATTAGAGGTATATTCTAAAAGAACATTCTAGCCCTTATTTCTAGGCCATATTCTTGAAAGTTTATTCTTGAACATGATGCCATTCAATTTTGCACTGCATATCAATTTTATATATGAGGGACATGTGAAGGAAAAATTAATAGTATAAATTCATTAATAATTTAATGACAGTATTTAATTAGTATTAAAAATATTAATTATGATTGAAGTTTATTTGTATTTTGGTATTTTTTTTCCAAATAGCTATAAGGGAAAAGAGTATTTATTGAACTCCAACCCTCAGTCTATAAGAAAGAATACTTTTACCAGAGAACAACTCCACAGCAATTCCATTGTTTTAATTATATGATCTCTAAAATAAATAACATTTAAAAATATTTATTTAAGTAAAGTAACACTTCAAAGCTCACCTAGACTTTTTTGTATTAAGAATTACTTTTTCCACTTATCATGTATATACTTTAATCATTATGACCTTTATGAGTAAGTGAACTATCATTCGATAAAGAGAGTGAAATATAACATATATTTGGACAAATAAAAATTAAGAGTACACAATTAACAGGCCATTAAAGAAAGAACCTCTAAATCAATTCAAAAAGAATATTGATAACAGAAGAAAAGATTAAGATACAAGCAGGGATACTGAGAGAAAGGAAGAAAGAAAATTGATAAATGTATGTGTAAATCCAAGCAAGCTTTGATTTTATAAAATAAAAATAGATTTAAAACAGAAATAATAATAATTACTAATTTGTGAGTTTTAAGAGAAATGAAAACACTAGCCAATAATAGCTTTAACACAGATATATATATTTTTTTATTTCAGCATGTTATGGGGGCACAGATGATTAGGTTACGTATGATGCCCTTACCCTCCCTCCCCTCCAAGTCCGAGCTTCAAGTGTGTCCATTCCCCCAGAGGCGCGCATCGCACTCATTGTTTGTGCATATGAACACAGATATTTTTGATTAGAGAATTTTAAGACACCATTTCAGTGAGGGGAAAGAGATATTACTAAAAAGTAGAGATATAATGTATAGCTTCTAAATCTGTAGAGCAGTAGAAGAAAAAGAAAAAAAGAAAGTTGATCAATCTTTAAGAAGGCCAGGAAAGTGAAATAAAAAATATAGGCAGAAAATCTGAAGAAAATAGAAAAATTTTATAAATAATCACATTAAATATAAATGGACTAACCTCTCTATTTAAATGACAGAGATTGTCAGATCAGATTTTAAAAAATAAATTAAATTATATAATATATACCATAAAATGCCTAAAATATAAGGACTCAGAATGAGAGTGAAAGACTGTAAAAATATATGCTAAGCAAATATAAGCAATACGAGCTGGGTGTTGTGGTGACCGGCTAAATGCTCAACAATTTCCTTTCCCCTTTGCAAGTTCAGAGGATGCCTGCCTTTCTCAATCTGTTTTGAATTTTGACTGGGGCCAGGTGTTTATGGCCAATGATGTGTGGGCAAAAGTAACAGAAACCAATTCCAAGTCTGGCCCCTGAAATCATCAAGCTTTTCGGCTCACATTTTTTTTTTCTTTTGTTACACTGTAAGCAAGACTTCTGAGATATAAAATGAAATAACCTGATACCCTGGGTCAATGCTTGGAAAGGAGCTTCCCCCAAAACCTATCTTCCATTCCTCAGACTTTTCATGAATAAGAACATTTATTTTCATTTTTAGTTACTGATATTTTGTAGGGTATTTGTCATCACAATGTAGACTAGCCTATCCTCCCTTATACAGAAAATGATGTTTTGAAATTATAAAAAGGTGTGGTATTGCCTTAGCAGTCAAGAAGTGGAAGGAGATGAAAGTGATATCAGAAGCTGCAATAATGATTATTCATATTATATGTGGAAAACACTTGGTGTATGTGTCACCTGGGGTAATTTGGAAGGTAATCACCTTTAGGAGATATGCTTGTCAATAATCAGAATATTTACATACTTACAATGATTTTATAAGAATCAGAGCATTTGTGTAAAACAAGAAAAAGATGAAATCACAGAAAGAACTGGATAGTGAACAAGAAGAAATGAAAGAGCAGAGAGAGTCTAGAAATTAGATACCTTTTAGTATGGACAAACTGACTGTAGACAACAAACAGTGAAACAGAATTATTTTTCAAAAAAGGGAGACAAAGAATAAGGGCATTGAACATAAAAGCCCAGTTTTGAGCATAAAAGCTCAGCTGAATGAAGTGACTCACAGCAAAAATCATGTTCAGTGTATGGTTTCATAACTATTATTTTAGACAGACTACAGGTGGTTGTCATTAAGCCAAAGGATAGAAAAATAGAGGTAGAAAAGCAAAGCAATAAAGCCAATTTGAGATCTGTGTCTTCAAAGGAACTTTAAGTGTATTTATTGACATATAGAACTTATTGGAACTAAATAGATAAGAGTATATTAACAAATAGTGTACCAATTTTTGTAGGAAATGCATTACCAAAGAAACACCAAGATTAGATCTAAAAGCTCGTGAATGTGTAAAATAAAAAAAAAAGCAAAAAACCAAAAACCAAACAATAATAACCCTAGGTCCCTGAATATCCAAAAGTGGAAGTAAAGTCTGAAGTCCACACAGCCTTGAAGGAGGACCCACTCTGATACGGCACAAGGGAATGATGAACAAGGGGATGCTCCCCAGAGAGTGGAGAGCCGTGCCTTAGGAGGTCCTCCCAAATCAGAATCTGGGCCTAGTTAGTTTTCTCCACTTTCAGAAAAGGAGGTTTGCACAGATTATTCCCAGTGGGATGGTTCTCTGAATTTTTTAGAGACGTGACTTCTGTGTCTCTCGTTTTTCCCATTCAGAAGGGAAGAATTTACTATAATAATCCTATTCCTAGTCCAACAAAGTTTGCACGATGGTATGGAGAGGGATATCTGGTTGACCTTGGAATTGGTACTTCTGGGGGGAAAGTGAATGTGCTCTGTGTGTGGAAAGTTGATTACACACATATGATGATATGGGATGTATAGCATATGTAATTATTTATATATATATATATATATATATATATTTTAACAGAATGAAACAGTGGTAAATTCTGGCTAGATGCTCAGAAAACTCATTTCTTCTTCATGGGTACAC